ACTTTTTGGCCAAGAGAGGGATTTCGGGCTTAGGGACAGGATGAACACAAGCGTTTGTATCTCAGAATTTTTGGTCCAGAGATACAAGCGCTTGAACGGGAGCAAAAAATAACGTGGCGATGAGGATGAAGGCTCAAGACGGTTGGTTGGTTAGGTTAGGTTAGGTTAGGTTAGGTTAGGTTAGGTTAATTTTTTTTTTTTTTTTTTAATTTGGAATAGTTCCAGAGTCCGAAGACTCCTTCACGGTTTATTATAAATAATAATTGCACATTATTGACGCAAGTGCGTCTTACATGGATCCTTCCCATTTACCGGAAGGAATATCGCACGTGGGTTTTACAAAAAGGTTGATTGCGATCAGTTGCTTGTTTGCGTGTATTGCAGGGAGGGAGGATTTCGGTTTTGGGATGAGGTTAGGTGGAGGGACGCATATGCGTCTTACAATTGAGGTTGTTTTGTTTGCGGCTGGTTGAGTGGGGGCATATAATACATTGAATGCACGCACGAAGTGCATGTGCGTGTGGGTAGGAGAGTTGACATAAATCGGATTGGTGGGTGTGTTGGGTTCAGGGTTTGTACTGGTGGGAAGGTGTTTGCGTCTGCGATAGATGGTTTGCGTGAGGATTATCGTCTGTGCGTTTTACAATTTACAAATGATTGCATGTGCGATTGGTGTTCATGTGGTTTTGTGAAAGGAGTAACAGTTTTGTTTGGGTGTTTGAGGGTTTGAATGTGTGCGTGACGAATGATGACGAAGATACATTTAATGTGGCTTGAAACCGTTTGCATACGACGTAATTGCGTTTTTCATCCGTGTGAGCGCGTCTTTATAGATGGGGCATTCATTTGAAAAGCTGCTGTGTCCGCGTACAGGGCCTGATCCTCCATAAACAGGGTGTTTTTCACAATTTCGGCATCGATGTTGCGTGTGGTCGTTTGCGTGTTGGCACTCGTTTGCGTTGTGGTTGCTAAGACAGTTTCGACAGGGCTCATGATCGATGTTTTCTTTGCAATACTTTGCAACATGGCCTATTCCAAAGCATCTGTAACATTTTGCTACGTGTGCGTGTGGGCGAGCTGCAGTCATACGGTAACCGATTGCGAGCTTTTTCCATACGGTGAGCTTGAAGAGCTTCTCACTCACGCCTAGAACAATATCGTGTTTTCGGCTCAAAGCTTCATCTTGACGTCTCATCCGTTCTATCGATCTGATGTCCGCTTGTAACAGGTCTGCATTTGCGTATTCGCCGTGAAGGTACCGATTTTGTGACCAGATGTATCCGGGTATTTCGCCTTTGCTTATATCTTGATCGACTCCGAGCAAACGTATGTATAACCTGGGCGTATCCTCTTGTACTTCGAAGAGTCCACATGCTTCTAGCTCCTTTGCGATTGCGTCTTTGTCTTGCTTTGACGGGCATCTTATTAGCGTTTTACTTTTGCCAAGTGTGCGGATTTGCTGAATACGGGCTCCTGTTTTTTTGATGTCCATCTTTTCCTTTATCGTGCGTTCGCAATTAGCTTCGGTAGAGGTGCTGGCGTTTTCGTTGTCTTTGAGCTTGACTATCATAGTGCAGGCATGCGACTGTGACGCATTCACGGTTCTGGGAGGGGCTTGCGCGGTGTTTTCGTGCTCTTGACGTTGGCTGAGGCTCATAGGGACGTTAGCGATTGACGGGTAAGTAAAATCCATTCTATCAAGAAGTGCGTTTGCGAACGTTTTAGGCGTGTTATCGGGTCTTTGCGTGAGCGTTTGCGTCTCGTTATCTTTAAGCACGGTTTTCTTTTCTGCATATGCGGCCTTTCCTTTTGCGATTGATTTTTCCATCCTTTTGCCGATTCTCTGTGTCGCACGTCCAACTGCCGCATCTGCGACTTTGTGAGATACAATGCGTATTTGCTCCGTGAAACTCTTGATCCATAGATTTCGGACGTCTTCAGCTATTTGGTCGAGGGTCGTTAGGATGTTCGTCTTTATAGTGTTGTTGAGATTGCGTGCGCGATTCGTTTCTTCTTTCGTGAATTCGATGGCTAGCCGGATTTTTTCGTACATGCAGTCCATTTGTTTCACTATTTGCCGGTTTTCATCTCTTCCAGTGCTACTGCCATTGCTACCTCGCGCGCGTTTGCGACCTTTTTGAATAACGGGAGTCCGGTCTATGCGTTGTTGGCTGTTCGTGTTTGCGTTGGTGGGAGAACGTGTACTCATTGTTCCAGTTTGTGAGTCAGAGCGGTTGAGGTTTTGCCGGTTGCTAGAGGTGTTTTCGTTGACTGGTCTTTGCGGTTCTTCGGGAGAGGATAGCGAGTATACGTTTTCAGAAGTATCATCATCGGTTAGGTCTTCATCCGGGGGGTGTTGACTGGTCGATTGCTTGTGCGACATTTCGCACGCACGGTGTTTGCGATGGTACAAGGAGCTTGTGTTTCGCTAATGCGTTAACAGTGAGGTTGACTTTGGGTGCGGTTGAAGAGGGCAACTGAAGGTGATGAGGGGAGTAAACTGGGGAAGGAACTGTTTCCGTTACGGAAGACGCAGACGGCTTTGCGTACGGAAGACGGAAATAGAAAGGAGGTCACGTGGAAAGAGGTAAGGCAATTGGTCGGTTGGTAGGTGAATGAATGGGGGAAAGCACGACCGCAAACGATTTTTTGCTATCGCAAAGGCGTCTGCGGACAACGGTAAATGGCCTCGGATGAGGTCACTTTTTGGCGAGACCGGAGATTGAGGGCTGAGGGTCAAGATAAACACAAGCGTTTGTATCTAGGAATTTTAGTTCCAAAGATACAAGCGCTTGAACGGGAGAGTAAAAAAGCGTGACGATGGGGAAGAAGGCTCAAGACGGTTGGTTAGGTTAGGTTAGGTTAGGTTAGGTTAGGTTAGGTTAGGTTAGGTTAGGTTAGGTTAGGTTAGGTTAGGTTAGGTTAGGTTAGGTTAGGTTAGGTTAGGTTAGGTTAGGTTAGGTTAGGTTAGGTTAGGTTGGTTAGGTTAGGTTAGGTTAGGTTAGGTTAATTTTATTTAATTTTTTTTTTTTTTTTAATTTGCAAATAGTTCCAGTGAAGCAAGCTTCACCTTCACGGTTTATTCATCAATCAAATAAGCCTTACCCTAATTTTGGCAAGGATTCGTACAAAGAAGCTGCGTCAGTATACGCTAGCCTTGTGTTAGTAATACAACTATTTTACAATGATTCAATTGTTATACATAGAAAAATTTTCAAGCTTCGATCGAAGTTTACATTGGCTTCAGCCCGGTTAATTCATTTACATGCATTTCCATAATTCATTCTATGCTAGCTTCATTGGAAGCTAGCTTCATTCTGTACAATTGAATTAGTTAGTATTTTGATCAGATATAGGGAATAGGGATAAGGATACATATTGTGGAATAAGAAAAAAGGTTATATATATATATGAAGGTAGATAATTGATTGATATAAAAAGATAATGAAACTATTGTTTGAGAGGATACATGATAATTGATTTGATTAACAATAGTTTTGAGGTAGTGAAGCAGACTTCATCATTTTCCATTGACGTTGGCTTCTTCCTTGGAAGTGTCCATTGGTTCTTGTACGTCTTCTTCTTCTGCTTCGTCATCTCTTCTATTCTCCATGCGTACTTTCATTAGCTTCAGCTCCAGTTCCTCTTTCTCAATCCATGTTTTCATCATAAAACTGTAGACTTCTGATTCAACCTTAATTTCCTTGCATTCAATTTCATCTTTACTCTGCGTAGCGTGATGCTTAAGCATGTGAGCTTCGACGTTACCATTCATTATAAATGTTGAACAGGCTCCACAGTTCGTCATTGTCGTCGTCTTTGATTTACCTTTCTTGTTGTTTTTCTTTGACTTGGACTTCGGCGACTTTTTCTTTTCCACTTTAAAACTAGCTTTCAGTTCATCAAGACGTGTATTGAAGTTCACTTCACTTCCTTGTAAAAGGCCAGTAACTTCATCAACTTTTTTATTAAGGGATGAGAGAGTCTTCGCCATTTCTAGTAACTTCACGTCACTGACCGTTAGGCCTTCACTTTTCAGTTTAGAGATGACTTGTAGTTTACTGCGTAAGTCATTTGCAGTTAAAGATGATGATGATGAGTCGGACATGCTTCACTACTCAGTTGACGTAACGTAGATATAAGTTTGGTTAAAAGATGTGGTAAAATAAATAAATAATAAAATGAATATCTGGAGAGTTGTTGATTGGTTGTGAGCACAGTTAAAAATGACACATGAGCAAGTTTAGGTTTTTGATTGTGTTGCTCTGTTGACTTTGGTTCCATCTAGCGATTTAGTTTCCTGTCTATCAATTCAGATAGGAATGGCTTCGCATAAGCAGGGACTATCTCGAGAAGAAGTCTCATTCGCTCGAAGTCCGACGTCGATGGTGATTTGAACTTTTCTTCTACACTTACAATGACTTTCTCTTGTTTCCGACGTTTAGAGCTTTCACGTATTTCTATGTTGGCTTCTGAATAACTGGGCGTTTCAGACTTCGACTGAATAGCAGTTTCAATTTGACAGACTTTCGTGTAGATTTCTTTGATTGTTCGTACAAGTTCAAAAGGCTTTGATGGTTCCATGTTTTATCCTTGCTTCAGTGACGTAGGATGAATTGAACAATGTAAGGTTGGAATAGGTGATGTATTTACAATGAATATTAAAATAGGTCTTGTAGAGTTTTAAAAGCACTTAACGCAATAGATTTTGATGATTGTAATTTGATAAAAATAATAATAATTTTAAGGATTAGATAAGAATTTTTGTCACCCAGTTTCATCTTTCATTTGACCAGCCACTTAGCGGTATTTGATATTCATAATTAGCTCTTGATCTTTTTCTTTATGTTGAGATGTATCACAGGTTGAGTTAGATGAGTAACTTTATCTTTATTTTGAACTTTTAATTGTAAGCATAAGTCAGCTAATTAACTGCATTTAATGTAACATAATCTAACTTCAAATCTTTATTTCTTTTAATCTTTAATGAATTTATTATTTCAATCTTCTTCAGACGATGCAGGGTTTGAGGCTCCTCCAGTTGACGCTTCATCCGACGCTGCGTCACTTGACTCGTCATCACTGCCACTGCCTGAATCGTTTCCAGAAGTCGAGCTATTATCGCTTTCACCGTCACTTGCCTCGCCATTTGAGCTTGAGTCTTCACTCAAGTTTAACTCCTTTCCCTTTATTGATGGCTTTGGACGATCAGGTGTGATGGGAGTTTGTTGACGCTCGGCTGGTTTCTTATTCTTCTTTGCTTGTTCAGCATCAGCTAATCTTTTCTTAATTGAAGCAAGTATCTCTTGCTTCTCAGCTATTTCTCTTTGCAAATCGTCTTGTGATTTTGACCTCCTCTGCTTTTTTACTTTTTGGTTTTCTTGAATGAGCTTAGAAGAGAGTTTCTGCTTCTGTTGAGGTGACGTTTGCTTTGCTTCAGATGAAGCTGATGTAAGAGATTCTTCAGTTGCACCTTTCTGATCATTTTCAGTTGTTGGTACAACTGAAGCATCGTCAGAGACTTTGGGGTATCGCTTCTCTGGTGTCGATGCAATCTTCTCGATTTGAGTTGTTAAGCTTTCCTCTGTTGTTGTTGGCTTTTCAACTATATTAGTTGGGTGGGATGAAGCGGGCTTCGATGAAGAAGCTTCGGTATCTTTTATGCCTCTTGACTTTTGTATTATTAGAGCAGCTTTTCTCATAGGCTCTGGCATGGAGGCAATGTCCCCAGCCCATAGTGTTGGATATTTTTCATATGGCTTGTTAGTGACAATAAGAATTGATTCTGGTGACTTGCATAAGGCTTCTGACTCTGCTTGATTCTCAAGAGCTTCAGTAGTAGAGCAGGGTTGCTTTTCACTTCGCTTCTGACTTTCATCTTTTTCTTTATCTTCTTCAGAAGTTGCATTGTCACTTTCACTGACTTCAACTTCAACACTTCGCTTCACTTCACTTTGGTGTTTTGGTTTTTGTTTATTGGCACTTGTTGTTTTGCTGTTGTCACTTTCACCGTCACTTGATTCACTTTCACTTATTAGTCCCTTTGACTTAGCACCTTTACCTAGCTTCTTAGACTTCAGTCGTTTGTTGATAATAACCTTTGTTTCAGTCTTCGATGCTCTATGAGTTTCCTTTTGCATAAGCCATTGCTGGTGACGCTTATCAAATTGACTTTGGGTTAGATCAACCCATAGGAATACTGGTTCTTCTTCATCTGGATGATAGACTTCGAAGTGACGTGCCATGTTATGAGATCTTTTATCTTCCATATAACTACATTTCTCTGATATACAGATCTTTCTTCGTTTGAAGCTTGCTTCAGGTTCAGGCCAACCAGAATTGCCTGGTGTAAACATATGGAGGACAATTTTATATTTTTCATCAGAAAAGAATCCATTCTTATAACTATCTGGTATCAGATTGTATTTCTTTTTAGGAAAAACACCCCAGTCTTCAATGTAGCAATCGCCTTTTTTGATGGTAATAGGTTTAATTACTACTGGTGGGGGACTTTGGTCTTTTGCTGGAGCTTCACTGACGTTCACTGACGTTTTCTTCTGTAGCTTTTTCAGGGAGGAGCGTAGTTCTGTATCCAGTTTTTCCTGAATCTTCATTATTCTTTCCATGTCTTGAAGGTGAGCACGTAAGAATGGTGAAGCATGCTTCATCACTTCTTTGTTAACTTCACTTGCTGGTAGTTGACTGTAAGTAAGCCAATCTTCATCCTTGAATTCCTTCAGTTCCAGCTTGAGAAGCTCATGATTTCTTTTTAAAATGTCAGTTTGATACACTTGTGTTATTACAGTTCTTTTGTTGCTGGTAATTTCTTCAACATCAAACTCCTTTACGGACACTTCTTCGTAATTAAGCTTCTTGGTACGGATGATAGGAGGTTTCTTTGATTAATTACAGTTGGGGGTCTCTTTCGACGTTGGTTTAGCACTTGTTTCCTTAACACTGTCTTTTTCTTTAACACTTTTTGCCTCTTCAGAAGGGGCTGTTGGTTGAATTGAGCTTTGAAGCTGAGTGATGAGACTAAAGATGGTGGATTGAAATCTATTTTGTTCTTCAACGCGTTGAGCTTCCTTACGTTGTTGTTCACTTATAAATTTATTCAATTTCTCTTCCATTCTGGCGTTTCTAATCTTTTTACAGATTACACACAAACAGCCTGATTCAGTTCTTCCTTTATGCTCTTCTATGAATTTATCCCAGGAATGGGTCTTTATTGGCATATGTTCAGTGAAGCAAACGTAGTGTGAAGTAGAGTTCCGCACTTTAACTTTTGTTTTCACTTTTATCACAGCACTTAGATGTCTTCACAGTTAATTCACTTTGTTTAGAGTTTACAATAATCAGTATTGGTGTTCACTTTGATAGGAGCACTTAACTAACACACGTCACTAATTTTAAGAGGTAACTTCAATGGAAGAAGGGTAAAAGTCTAACTTGATGTTTATTCAGTTGAATAGGTTGTAGAACTGACTCCTACATGTATTCTATGTTAAACACATATGTTTGTTGCTGCTGCCATCTAGTAGATGCAAAGTTAGTCATGTTGAACTTCGCTTGAAGCGCCGAACTTAAGGTGTTGTAAGTTGTTATTTTTTACTTTTCTGTATATTAAGGCTAATATACTAGCTATCTCATCATTTTGAAGTATTTCTTTCAGCATAATATTTCTATTTGTTCTCGCTTCGGTCGAGAGTAGATCATTCAGTTTATCTCGCCAGACGCTGAAGTACTCACAGTCAAACAGAATGTGTTCAGAGTCTTGATCTTCCCCACTTTGGCAGAGTTGGCAATTACTTTCAAGGTTTACGTTAAGTCCAAAACGTCTTAAGTGTTTTGTAAACAGGCCATGGCCTGTTATAAACGGGACTACCGCCAGCCAGTTCTCTATTTGGTGTATTTCTTTTAGCGTTTCGATTTTACCAGACCACTTCAGGGTTAATTCACTTGCTTCTTGTTCAAAGACCTTTTGTTTCTCAACTTCAGCTCTTTGCTTCAATTGAAGTTTTATATGGGCTCGTGGTACTTCGTCAAAATCCTTCTTTGATTTTTTACGCGATGCTTTCTTCGCTGTTTCATCAGCCAATTCATTTCCTTCTACACCAGTGTGTCCTCGCGTCCACCGTATTTCAATTCGATATTTACTACTTAAACAGTTAAGCTGATATTTTGTGTCTGACGTTAGACAAGTTTGTTTCTCTTTTGATGTAAGTGCGTTGATCGAAGATTGTGAGTCAGTCCATAGGATGATACTATCAACGACGTCAGGTATTTTCTTTGACATAAGTAGTTCAGCTGCCTTCTTTATCGCAAGCATTTCTGCTTGAAATATCGAGCAGTATCTATCCAACGTTATTTGCTTGGTCCATTTTAATTTCTTTCGGTAGAAACCACAGATACCCGAACCTACACCATCTTCTGATTTGCTTCCATCTGTATACACATTGTAGTTTGTACTCTTGACGTTGAGCTCTTCAGCTTCTTCTGACGTTGTGCTCAGAATGAAGCGTACATTGAAGCGATCAGAGGGATGGTATCTTAATTCGTGTCCAGCGTACTCTTCTATCATTCTGTCATGCGGGAGGAGGTCATAACGTTGATTGTTTGTGTATATATTTCTCCTTATATGATTAAAGATTAGAACGTTAGGTAGTGGTTCATATCCAGCTAACGTGACGCAGTTTATCCATGACGTTGTGTGGAACAGTTTGGTGGTTTTGAGAATGTACATTCTTTGTAGTCTCTTCAATTTTTTGATGGTATTGTTATGTTTGAGAATTCCTCCCCAAACGCCAATCCCATAACTCAAAATTGGTACAATAACAGCACTGAAGATCTTTCGAAAGATTTCATTATGCGATCCAAAAAGCTTAAAAGCTTCTTGCGAAGCTCTCTGACCTATGGCATAACATCTTCTGTAGACTTCATTGAAGTGATGTCGGAATCTCAGCATGTTGTCTATTACAATGCCCAGTGTTTTCATTCTAGTCACCTCTGGTATTTGTTTCTCATTTAGTTTGATTGTGAACTCAGAGACCGGCTTTCCTTTCAAGACCATGTAGACAGATTTCTGAGAAGAGAACTTCATCTTCTGACGTTCGGCCCACCTGTTGCATACTTTTTCAACAGCGTTAACTTTCTGAAGCAGACTTTCATGACTAGGTGAAGTGATGAGAATTGAGACGTCATCAGCATACGCGTACGTAATTATGTTTATAGCAGCAAGTTCTTTCAATAATTCATCCATGATCAACAGCCAAAAGAGCGGGCCAAGGACTGATCCCTGTATACATCCTTTATCACATTCCTTTTCTGCTCGACTTCCAATGAAGCGAGCCTGCACCTTTCTGTTTTCAAGATAACTTCGAACCAACTTGTATATGTTTTTTGGTATGTTAGCTTCTTTAAGCTTTTGCATTATTGATGGCCACCATGCGTTATCAAACGCTCCTTCGATGTCTAGGGAGAGAAGTATCACAAACTTTTCAGTTTGCTTCATTTCTTTAAGCTTGATAATCAGATTCTCTATTGCATCTTCAGATGATTTCCTTTTTCTGAAGCCGTATTGTGCTTCATGAAGAAAGTTTACTTTCTCGAGGTGCCACGTGATTCTCTGGTGAATTAAGCTTTCAAGACCTTTCGACATCATCGGCAGAAGACCTATTGGTCTGTATGATTTCGGCTTGGTATAGTCACCTTTTCCAGGTTTTGGTATGTACTTTATTACAGCTGTTTTCCATATTGCAGGAAAGTTACCTTCACTAAGGCATTTGTTATACAGATTTAAGAGGACGTCACTGTTTTCTCTGATCTTCTCACAGACTACGGCATTGAAGCCATCGTAGCCAGGTGCTTTGGTGTAGTGGATGTTTTTGAAGATGTGACTTGCTTCTGATCTTGTGAAGGGTGGATCATCTTGGTTCTCAGGAGGTGTTATTACGTCAAGACGTAATTTGGCATGAAATTCATTTTCGGTATCAGGCTTATCCTTTGGGAAGAAGGTATTGAGCAGGTACATAGCAGACTCTTCAGCAGTTAGTTCAGTGCCATTTTCATCAGTTAGACATCGTTGCGATTGGGACGTAGAAATACCTTTGATCCAGTTATTTACCGGGTCCCAGGTATTGCTGATATCTAAACTTTCAGAGTATTTTAGCCAGGCTTCCTTCTTTGACTTAAGTATGGCTTCCTTCACTGACTTACGAAGCTTCGCTAAATTCTCTCTTAGTATTTGTCTTCTCTCTCCACTACTGCAATTTCTGATGTTACGTCTAATTGCCATTATGCGTCTGTCGAAGTCCGCAATTTCTTGCGTAAACCATATTGGTTTCTTCGGTTTCGCATACAGTTTCTTTTTAATAGTATACTGGCAAGTTTCAGTGACAACTCTGCTTAGGGTATTACATAATCTTTCTGACGTCTGAATATTTTTGTTTTCCACTGATGAAAGCTTTTGACGTGCGATGTTCTCGAAATGAGTCCAGTCTGATTGCTTATTTTTGTAGAGCTTCGTTGAATCGTGCCTTGTGTAAGCATACATGGTCTGAATATCAAAGGTGATAGCGAAGTGATCTGATGTTGTTGATATATCATGCCTTACGTGCCAGTTGCTTAATTTATTGGTAAGATTTTTGGAGACCAAGGTGATGTCAACTATGCTTTTGTAGTTGGTTGCGTTCCTAGTTGCTGTGAAGGTTGGTAGAGAGCCAGTATTGCATATGTGCAGGTCTTCTGATGTTATGAAGTCCTCCACCTGTCTTCCTTTCTCATTTGTTTTTTCGTCACCCCACATGACAGAGCGTCCGTTGAAGTCACCTGCACAGATGATGTTGTCTCTTGATTGCTGACGAAGCAAGGTAGAGAGTTGTTCAAGTGTTTCAACTCTTCTATCATTTGGCGGAACGTATACTGACGCAATTGTAATCCACCCAGTTTTACTTAGGACACGGCATGCTGCTATATTTGGTGACTTTGTTTCTATCGGCATTTGTGGGAGATTGTGATCTAGAATTATTATTGCGGAATATGATTTACCAAGACAAGTTTTTGTTTTTGGAAGATACGTTGCGTATTTTTTCCTTGTTCCTTTAAGAAACCCATTTGTTTCGTTTATCTCCTGAAGTAGGAGTATCGAGACGTTCTTTTCTTCACAGTTGTATATTGCTTGCGTCGTGGGAATTTCACTTTTATTTACGTTCAGCTGCATCACTTTAATTATTTCGGGCATACCTTATATAATTAAAGAGGATATTCTTTTGTTTTTCCATAACTTCCTGATAAACTGGGCATTTTGTTGACAGCGAATGATGGTTTACAACTGTGTTTTTTGAAAAGGTAGGGTC